TGTGTGTGTGTGTGTGTGTGTGTGTGTGTGTGTGTGTGTGTGTGTGTGTGTGTGTGTGTGTGTGGAAAAGATCTTGATCCTTTTCTATTTGCACTTTTTTTGCTCCCTATGAAAAAGACATGATCTGGATAGAGCAGCTATTGTAATAAGTTCATACCAATTGTGTAAACACTTGTTAAAACATAGCGACACCTTACTGCTTTTTACTAAATTAAAACAAATAGAAAAATTATAATCAGATTTACTTAAAACTACATATAAAAACATGAACTGTACAAATATGAAAATTATACAAAAAGTTCAATCAAATAAACACATTACATAGAACAAGTGGCAGGGGTATTGGTTTGCATTTACACTTAATGCACAGATTTATTCTGACATATACAGATTTTTTGTCTTGTCCATTGCCATGGTTATCACTGTCAATTATTGCATTCAATGCAGTTCAATTCAATTTAATTACAGTAGTCAATCCATGAACATTGCAGTGTGTTGCTAGCAGCATGAAAAATAAAACTTTTATTTAAATTGTGAATGGGTTAATCACTCAGTGTCCAGCCCTATGTCAGATATAAGCATGGTATTGTTTGAATATGTATGCATTAGTGAATTGTGTATTTCACAGATATTTGGAGAGCTGTAACGTCCCAAACACAGTAAAACGGAAGTATCAGTTCACTCCTCAAACACCACCTCCTCAAATTCGGACGAGGACAAGAAAGCCTCTGATGCCAGTCTACAGCAAACTGATGGTAATTTTGTTTTCTTGGGTTTTTTTGGAAGGCAATGTTTTGATGGATACCAAAAAAGATGCTTCTTTCAATTCCTGTTTGCAATTTTTTTTTGTATGTATCTTTAGATTCTCTAGGTATGGAAGCACCATCTTCAATCTCTATAAAGACCAATGAAAAGCCTCCGCCAGGTCCTGCCCCAGGTCGTGTTGTCGGAGGGCCTTTATCTCCTTTGGACCTAGCCAGCAAAGCAGACAGTGTGGTTTCTCAAGGTTCCTACAGCAGCACAACTGTACATGTGGGAGACAAAAAAACACAGCCAGAATCAGGTACCTCATTATCATTATTATAAAAAATAGGGCTGTTGATTTAATGCTTTAATTTGATGTGGTTAATTATAGAATAAATGCATGAATCCACATTTTTTAATGAATTGAGTGCGCCAATGATTCAGTGTCCCATTGATGAACAGTCACTTGCTTCATTTTGAATAAATCAGTCGTTTGAATTAATTGGTTGAATGACTGACTGAATGACTCAGTCATTAAGACAGCGACTTGCTGCCACCTACTAGCAGTTTTAGATTCACAATTAGATAGGGCTGTCACGATTCGTCGATTTTATTTGACTATTCGATTTTTAAAAATCCTTGACTTCATTTTGCTCGCGTCGACTAAGCGGCAAAATACCGGAGGTGGCGCATTTCACGGACGAGAATCTATAAAACACATTATTAGACTCTTTCCCAAGGCTGCATGATATATTAAACCCATTTAAAAATCATAATTAAGCATAATTGTGAATTCACAAACGCTACTATTTAATTAATTATATGCAATGCCCTTCTAATACAGTATATGCGCTTTAATTATTTACATGCGTGTAGGTTAAGTACATGCGTCACAGCGGCTCCGTTCACAGTAGTTCCACAGGAACTGTTATCATTTACATGTGTGGAGCGGCTCAAACTCCATCTCTGCATGTTGTGAGTTTGGGTTTATTATAACTTTCATCTGGGAACGCAACATGCGCCATTTCATCAGATTTGTAAGGTAAATCATTTGTAAATCTACGCAAACACAGGAGAATACATCACGGTTTCAAATTAAAAGCTCAAACCCTCACTCTGAGTTTACACGTTTTGATGTCCACATATTCTGTTAATTACAGTGGCTATAGCATTTCTGTCCTAAAGAAATGGCCAAATATTAAAGATTAAGTGGACATTTGAATGAAATGGTGCTTGGTAAATATTAAACAAGTATTAGATCGGGCAGCAATGAAAAATAATCATCAGGCCGTTAACGCCCTCTGCCGGCCTTTGTTGTAATGCGTAATGTACATTAGCTCTATTGTTTATAATACATTATGTATTTTAACAGTTTTGTTCAATAAAACCATAAGATTACTCGCTTTTGATACTTTATTTGAACTAATTATTATTGCCTCATTGCTATTATATATGTATTTTAAGTATTTGTATATATGTTCACTTACATCTATTTTTATTACCACAAAACATTTTTTTATATTTATTGTATAGCTATACTCTGTTGTAATGGTTAAATTACATTTTATTAATCAAAAAGCCTGTCTAATTAACTGAGTTTTACAGTTTTATCTTTACCAAATTCTGTTTTCCATTATTTTCTGGATTCCATTTTAATAGTTCCATTAAATTTTAATAATCAAAAACATCTCCAATTAATTGATTTTATCAAAATCTTTTTTTTCCAGAAATACTGCACATTTACATTTTTCTCCTAAATAAATTCTGGTAAATAACATTAGAGTATCATTTCATGAGTATCAGAATCATTTCATATTTCAATATTCTAATTTTTATAAAAACCCATTAATGCCTATTAAAATCCCATCAATCTCATAGCGTCATTTATGCCATTGTAATTGCAATGCAAATGCATTCATGCTGCCACTGAATAGTCTGTGTAAAAATACAACAATAAAACAATGTTATGGCAAAATTGTAGCCTTTTGTGTTATAAATGATGAATCAAAATATTTCTTTCTAAGGCTACTTTTTTTGTAATGCCTATTCAGTGCTTTTCTCATTTTAACACAATGACCGACTTTAAATTATCCTTTGAGGGGTAATGTCTGAGCTCAAATTCAGGTGCATTTAATTTGTGATTAAATAACACCTTTTAATCGCTCGACTGCCCTACAAGCCTACTCTTGCTTGTGTGATATTACTAAACTATATCACATAAATATAAGACAAAAACCCATATGGGACATTTTTTTCCCTCATATCTTAAAGGGGTGGTTGACTGTTTTTTTTTATAGGCTTGATTGTGTTTATGGGGTGCAGTCTAACATGTGTTAATGCTTCGTTTGTTAAAAAACGCATTATTTTTCACATAATTTACCTTTATTCC